AAAAAAAAAAAAAAATAAAAAAAAAAAAAAAAAAAAAAATTCATTTTTAATGGACAATTTCCATGTAAAATAAAGTCAAACGTGAATAAAAAGATCCAAAATTTTAAAATTTTTCCGGGTGGAAAATTATACCAATCAAATACACTTGAAATCATTTTCCCTACAAAAGATTTTTTAGGTAAATCTTTTCCCTATAAAATATTTTATTTTCGTCCATTTTCCACCCTTACAATCAAAAGCGTCCTCAGTAACATTTTTTCCTTATTAACGTTAGAAAATTCAAAGTTGGCATTCAACTTTTATATCATCGGTTTACACGAGTACTAAACCTAAACATGCATCAACACAAAAGAACACCCATTTCGACACGTGTACATATTATATTACTAACTCCATCAAGAATGGGCCGAATGGCAAAACAGCAATTAATCAGGTTAAATTAGGTAAAAAATTCTCATATAAACAAATAAGTAGCTGTACACGAAATCCTACTATTTTCATGTCTGGCAAATTCAATGCCACGGCGGGCTTACAATTAACAGTTCGTTGGTGGTAGTTGCAACCCCCTACCCTAACCTACCCAACCTCTTTTTCAGTTTTCACACACTATACACGCTCAATACGCTCAATTCTTTCTATAAATTCTTAGCCTTTTCCATTTCTCATTTACTGCAAAAAACTTCAACCATTAAAAAATTTTCTTATTAGAATATTTTTGCAATTTTGATTTTGTGGGTTTTGTTTTGTTGATCATCAATGGGGAATGAGGGTTTGATGAATCCCGAACCGCGAAAAATATCGGTTGAACGAGGGAATAATCTCCCCAACTTTCTTCTTTCTGTTAGGCTTAAATATGTGAAACTTGGTTTTTATTACTTAATCTCAAATGCTATGTACTTATTTTTGGTTCCACTTTTAGGGGCTGTTTCAGTTCAGCTTTCTACTGTTTCTGTGGAAGATTTGGTCCTTTTATGGAACCAACTGAAATTCAATCTTGTTTCTGTGATTTTATGTTCTGCTCTTATGGTGTTCTTGGGGACACTTTATTTTATGACTAGGCCTAGGAAGGTTTACTTAGTCGATTTCGCGTGTTTTAAGCCGAAACCCGAGGCTGTGTGCAGTAAAGAAGTGTTTATGGAGAGATCAAAATCGGCAGGGACGTTTACTGATGAAAATTTGGCCTTTCAGAAGAAAATCTTGGAGAGGTCAGGTTTGGGGCAAAAGACGTATTTCCCCGAAGCCCTTCTGCGCGTCCCGGCTAATCCTTGTATGGCTGAGGCAAGGAAGGAGGCTGAGATGGTTATGTTTGGTGCAATTGATGATTTGTTGGTTAAAACCGGGGTTAAGGCTAAGGATATTGGGATTCTTGTGGTGAATTGTAGTTTGTTTAATCCAACACCATCACTTTCTGCTATGATTGTGAACCATTACAAACTTAGGGGAAACATTTTGAGTTATAATCTTGGTGGAATGGGTTGCAGTGCAGGACTAATATCAATCGATCTTGCTAAACAACTTTTACAGGTTCGTTACTTTCTTCATTCTTTACATCTAAATGCTACGCCGTTCGACAACAACAAACTAAAGGCCTATTTGGAATAGCTTCTGCTAATGCTTGTAGAAGAACTTCATGAAGAAGCTACCTCTAACAAGACAAAATACTTTTACAAAATTATCCAAACAAATCCAGTAGTAGCTTCTTAATGTTAGTTCGGCTTTTCAAAAGTCTACCAAATGGGCCCTAAGTCTTATTCCCGATAAATTTGGGATCAGCTAGGTGAATTGTTTTTTCACCAGTTTGTTCAGTTCATATATAGCTTAAAGACTTGGACTAACTCTCCATGTATCAATGTAACAGGTGAATCCCAATTCTTATGCTCTGGTAGTGAGCATGGAGAACATAACATTGAATTGGTATTGGGGCAACAACCGATCAATGCTGGTCTCCAATTGCATTTTCCGGATGGGAGGAGCAGCGATCTTACTATCAAACAAGTCATCAGATCGTAGACGAGCAAAATATCAACTAATCCACACCGTTCGTACCCACAAAGGAGCTGATGATAAGAGTTATGGTTGTGTGTTTCAAGAAGAAGACGAATCGAAAAAAATTGGTGTAGCATTGTCAAAAGACCTAATGGCTGTTGCTGGAGAGGCCTTGAAAACAAACATCACAACTTTAGGGCCATTAGTCCTCCCCATGTCCGAACAATTATTGTTCTTTCTTACTCTTGTGGCAAAAAAGGTTTTCAAGATGAAAATTAAGCCGTATATACCGGATTTTAAGCTTGCGTTTGAGCATTTCTGCATTC